CCTGTTTGGACGAAACAAATTTTGCTCGGTATACGACTTTTGTTCGGTATACGACTTAATTCAATTATAAGCGCCATCTATGAACAAGTAGCACTATCGGTGTACTAGACCAGATTAGACGTTCGCGGTGCCACGGTTTATAACTTTGTTAAATTTCTTCTGATTTTAATTTGTAAGTAACATTTTATTATTTTTATTAATCATGAATTGCAAACAGGCAACAGAAAAATAAAAAAATGACAATGGAACTAAAAAAGAGATTGTTGAGAAATATGAAGGTGGCACGCATGTTCGAGATTTAACTGTTGCATTCCGTATTCCGAGAACGACGATATCGACAATCGTGAAAAATAAAGACATTATTAAATTTGCTAACGTTGCGAAAGGGGTTAAATCAATTTCTAAACAGAGATCGAAGACATTAGATCGTGTCGAGAAATTGCTTTTGCTTTGGATAACTGAAAAACAGTGCGCTGGCGACAGCGTATCGGAAGAAATTATTTGCGAGAAATCTAAAGGGAAACATGCTGATCTCATGAAAAATCAAGCAGGAACTAGCGAGGAAAGCGAGGTGTTTAAAGCCAGCCATTTTTTTTTACATGAGAACGGATTAATCATTTTTACATTACTTCTTATGGGAAAGGTTGGTTTGGTATACGTCCTATTCGGTATAAGTCCAAACATCAGGAACGGATTAAGGTCGTATACCGAGGTTCCACTGTACATCATTTCTATGACCAACCAAGGGCGGCGTAAGGCATGGACGACGTGGGCCACCGCCTATGCCTCGCGGTCCGAAGGGCCTCGCGCCTCGAAGGTTTATGCATTACTTAAAAGCCATGAACGCGACGAAAAAATTTTACTCGTCATAAAACGATAAATAGTTTGTCAAATTTTTATTAATAAAAATGCAGTTTCAACTGCTTTTTATTTTATAAAATCCGTCTTCTTGCGCGACTAGAGGGCCTTTTAAACAATAGGTAGTCTGGTAGCGTTGGTCAGAAGTAGTCCAAATTCAATACGAACGTTTGTTTCTTGAAAATTTGATCACGATTTAAATACAGTATTTACTTTTAATATTACCGATATGTCATCGAAAAGAAAACGTGTTGTATTATCATGAAAAGACAAATTAAAGTATTTGTTTCGATTATCCAAATTTTTCCTTATCCGGACTACCTTCATCCCCAATTAGTCCGGATAATCGAGGTTCTACTGTAATTGTTATGGCCGTTGAATAAGAAATGTATAAAATCATAGTACTGTATTAGACTTATAGTACCTAATTTATATACTGTACAGACGATAGTAAACTCAACTTACCCGCCTAAACTCTCCGTAGCGTGTAAGTAGTTCGGCTGCTCGTCCACAATTGGTCCAGGTTCGACCATCCTGTCGCGACACGAGTCGGCGATGACGTTTTACCACATTTTATGAGTCTCTTTTAGCGTCATTATACGCATACAGTAGCAATTTTTTTGCCGCGATATACAAATCCGCATTATGTGAACCTGCGTTATAGGGGGTCGACTGTACAGGTAACCCCCGTATAACACGGAACTTCTATAGCACGGGTTCACTCTAACACGGTTCGGAAATTGGGTACAACATGAATGTAACGGTTCGGGAATTGAGTACAACATGAATGTAACGGTTCGGGAATTGGGTACAACATGAATGTAACGGTTCGGAAATTGGGTAAAACCCTCGTACAACATGAAATGTAATAAAGGGTGCGTTCTTTTATACCTTCGCGTAACTCCGCGCGAGCATTCTAATTGCTTTCGTGGCTACTTTGAATGCTCTTTCAACAAATAATCCATTTAATGGTTAAATTTTACAATTGGGACCCTTCTTTTGTCTCTATAAGCTCATTTTAGAATTATAGATTCCTCCATCACGATACTATCAATAGTGCGGGCGCCGCCATCTTTCTTTCACGGTCGTTCCTAAATGCCTACAAACAGCAGCGCACTCCCGTTGCAGAGCGACCGCTATTAACGAACGCGCCCAAAAACTGTTACCAGTTGATGATTCTCATGCTAAGATCATCATATAGGATGAATAATCTTCCGGTAAAATATTTACTTAAATGATAAATAAGTATTTTACCTATAAAAAAATTAATAATAAATCCGATTTAAATAAAGATTTAACAGGATGTTTTTTTAATTTTTGGAACCTAACCACCCTTTTCGCTTTAGTACTTTGTTTCGTATAACACGGATTCGCATAACACGGCAATTTTTTGGAACGTAACTCCCGTGTTATACGGGGGTTACCTGTATTTATATGTAATTATAATAAACCAAACAGTGCAAAAGTGCAGATTGACCATTCAAATCTCAGCGCTTTAAATCTGTTTTTAAAAAATTTTTAAATACAACATGTCTATGATTTGACGACTTACTGAGTTATTTTTCAGAATAATATACATTTTTTTGTGGCATTCATTCATTTAAATGTATTGATAAATACAATGAATTTCTAAGAATTGTAGAGAATTTTCATCACGACGAACATATTAAACTTAAACAATGAATTCTGATGCACATTATGATTCTGATGAATTCTGATGAATGAATGAGAGATGTGTTCTTCAAAATCACCGATGCACAATAACTGGCATCAAGATCTTCATGTTTGTATTTGTAGCTTGGTAGTCGTTTATCTTTCTCGTTTTTGTAATTTAGCAAAGAATTTTTTTGTAATGCTGTCTTTATTCACTTTAATATGTAACCTATAATTTCTGAATTTCTTTAACAGAAAATAAACTTCAGCAGAAGTCTTTTTTTGAATGTTCACGTTTAGATTAAATTGAAATTTTTCTAATACTACAATTATGATCTTGTTTATATAATATTTCAGGTAACTTCACCGTACTATTTGCCGAATTCACATTTAAGCGACGTCTGACCGGTAACATGATGAATGTCTACATCCCTAGTTCATTAGTAGTCATGTTGTCATGGCTCTCGTTTTGGATCGACGTCCACGCTTCACCCGCACGCATCACTTTGGGTGTGACCTCAATCCTGACTTTAGTCACTCATTTGGTGCAGTCCAGAAGCTTCGTGCCTCCTGTGGATTATTTGAAAGCTTTGGATATTTGGTTTATATTCTGCATCGTTCTGATATTTTTCTCTTTACTGGAATATGCTCTAGCTTACCAATCCGCCATCACAGCGCGACAGGTAAGTCAGAAAAAGTTTACTATATAATACTCTCATATATGCAAGTGTTGGAAATAGTTAAATAACCAAAAAACTTATTCTACTGTACATTGCAAATAGGATGGTATTGTTAAATTGATTTCCTATTTAAATATGCACGGTGAACTTCTTGGCACTCTTTTTATTCAAAAAGTATTGAAGATATATTAATTTTCTTAATGTAGTTACGTAGGAAGTCACGCTTATAGATTGGGATGGAACCTTTTTTATTACACCGAGTATCATATTTCTGTTGAAGGCAAACATGTTGAACATGTATTACAATAATGTAGCAATTGCTGATTTTAATTGTTTAATTAAAACCTGATACTCCTTAATTACCAATGTGTAAATAGATGTTTAAGATATTACTTCTTATAAAAATGAATTTGAAATTCATGAAGAATAAAAGTTATTTTTAAGTGTGTTCTTACTTTTTAGCTTTTCTTTTTTAACTGAGCATTCCAGACTACACATGCACTTCTGTCTCCTTTTTATTTTCAAGTAAATTTCAATCTGGTGATGTGCAATTAAAAGTTATAATTATATTTTGTTTTGTTTAATAGAAATGTATCAACTTTCTTTAACAAGTAACTTACCTTTTTTCATCTACTCTTGACACCAATTGCAAACTTCTTTTAATGATTTATTTTTGCATTATTAAAAAAAAAGCATTTCGAATACTGTTCTATAGCTGTTCTATATAATTACTTTTCATGCACATCCGTGTATGTTCTTGTGTAAGAAAAATATGAAAACGAAACAGAAGGTATATTTTCATATATCTTCTGTTTTTCAGAAAGCATCAGCAAATTTATAAGAGAAGTGACCAAAAGAAATTAAAGATCGATAAACCAAAATGAACTTTGATTCATTGTTAGAAAATTAAGAGGTAAATATTTAAAGTTTTGTATTCGCATAATAATATACACCAACCATTTTCATAAAATCCTTCTAAAATTTTAAGAAAATTCGAAATTTGTATTTTGATTGCCGTATCTCATAAATAAGTTATTGGGCTGCAATTTGAAAAACTTGTACATTTATAAATTCCCACTGTTGCCCATATCTCCGTCTGTCCTTCCTTAATCTCGAGAACGGAGTTATATAGTTGAAAACCGAGACAAGATTTAGAAAGACTAGGGGCAAAAGACCCCGATTAACTATATAAAATTTCAGATATAGAGTGAAGTATACGTAATTTCAATTTAAAATTTTCCCCTTAGAAGAGCTAAGTAATTTCTTCAAATTTGTAAGCATTTATGCTGTAAATATTATTTTGAAATGTAGAGAAATTTTAAAAAATTGTATTTTTTACTTTTTTATTTTTATTATTTAGCAGAAAAAAGAAACTCGACGTCGTTCGTCAGATACCGATCCGAAGAAAGGAAAGGATCCAGAAAAGATTCAAGGATGGGTGTCTCACTGGAAGGATATAAAGAAAACTTTGATCGATTCAAAACACGTAAATGCATATGATAAAGTGTCCAGATACGTATTTCCTTTTGTATTTATAAATTTTGCAAGCTTCTATTGGATATATTATCTAGCGCGCAGGATATAAATATGACCATGAGAGATTAATGAGAATTTCTTCTAAGAATTTTACAACATTTTAAGAAATTAATCTATACTAATTCTTTCTAGACACTAAAATTATGCTATTTAATCTAAAAAAATAAAGACACAAACGAATATAGGACCCATCAACACAATTAACATCTAGCATCAAATGAAATTTCGAGTATACAATGATAAATAAAATACAAAGTTGAAATGAAATTATAAATGCATTTCTTGAATTGATAGAATTTCGTATGTAAAATTATAGAAATAAGACATCAGAGTTCCATCATTGCATTAATCTAAAGCAAAATAAAGCGTTTTAAGACCGTAACCGCTTTGGTTATGCAAGTGATTTTTAAAATCTAAAATAATTCTTAAAAAATTAACAAATTCTATTTTCCAAAGTCTGAACCGAAAGTTAATAGAAGAATTAAATAGGATTCTAACGCAGAAAACTGTTTGGTTCCCTTCTGCTTCCGTTTTCCAGAGGTTTTAATAAAGGATTTTCCCATAAAAATGCCTTAGACTTATGCTGGAGATCGCGTGCATAATCTGAGAGGTTGCAATCAGCTTAATAATATTTGAAAAATAATTTGCTGTTAAAATCCATTCGAAGCTTAATCTGTATCAATATTTAAAACCTTCAAGCAACATTCACATTTCTGTTTCCATAATATCACAAATGTAATTTACAATAAGTCATACATATTTTGAGGTTAGTTTTGATGGATCATCACAAAAATATATAATAGAAACAGAGACGATAAAGTCGACAGCACTTCAGCAATTCCTAGAACATCAGCTCTGGAATCAAAGCCAAACGCAAAGAATGTGTCATGGTAAAGTGACTCATCTTAATGGGACAGAGTTCACAGGAATCCACCTCCGAATTTTGTCCCATTCACATAAGTTAGTTTAAATTCATCTATAAAAAGAAATTATAGTTTTTAGGTTGTTTCAATTGAATTTTGATTTGTGTTCATTATACAAAACTGATTTTTACAATATTGTGGATTATTCTGTTGATGAAAGTAGTAAAATCTAATTAGAATCAAAGCGAATTTGTATGAATCCGACCAGAAAGAAAAGAAATCAAGCATAAAGATTTGTAAAGAAAACAGAAATGTCCTCAAGGATGCAGGCTTATAAAAAGAAAAAGAATTTCTAAGAAATTTAAGCTGGAAAGGATTAATTCTTCATATACATACAATCATTTAAGAATTTCCATAATGTACAATAAATCTAAAATTATGTATAATTCAAAGAATTGTATAATCCATAATTCATTTGTTATTCTGTATTTAATATATTTCCATGTTTGTATTTATAATTTATATATTATAATATTTATGTAATTAATGTAATTAAATTATCATATTTATTCAAATTTTACATTATTATTGTTTGCTCTGAGCATCTCCTAATCTCTATTCATTTGTAGAATTTCAAGAATTTTCTTAATAATGCAAATATTATTTAAAAATTAGAAGAATTTGATGCATATTCTTGTCTTAAATTCTGATTTTTGTGTTCAATAATTCTCTAATATTTCATTGTAAAATAATTTTAACCTTTTCAAGATAAAATGAACTTCTAAAAATGTTTAATTTAAGATTGTTTTAAGGTTGCTTTTTGTGTTTTGTTTATAATAATACTAAGTGCCATGTCACATACACTACACAAGTCTAGAAAAATTAGGCCTTAGCAACAGCAAATAGGCCTAAATTACATTACAGACAGCAACCATACTGAACACGTCAAAGCAGATACATACACTAGTTCGTTCATTGGTATGTTCCATTGCGCTCACAAATTCATACAATAAAACCTGTCCAAAACGGAACCTGCCTATACGAAAAAATTCTTCGGAACAGATCGATTGTTCAAAACGGAAAAAATATTCGTTACCGTGAGATTCTTTTACGCAAGTTTTACTGTAAATATTCTAACGCTGGCGATGTTCAGTCGTTCTCGACCACGTGCCTTAAAATATTTCATCAATTTCTATCATATATTTTGTGTTTCTTACCTTACCACAGAATGGAAATTCCTCCATAACGCATTTTCACTTGAGATATCCGCATAATTATTATTAAAACAATTCGTGAAGTGTTCTGAAATTCGGCATTGCTTTTTAGCCGCCATGTTTGATAAAGTGACGTCACTTTTCGCTACATCTTATTGGCTCAATAATAAAATGGTACTCCAATTGCCTACGGTTTAGTGTTGCCACATCTTCTAATTTAATTTTCGTGAAAAACACACGAAATTCTTGTACTTGTCAGATTCGTGCACAGTATATTTACATTTAACGTGTTTATTAAAACACAATTATATTGTCAATAATTAAAAATTTGAGGATTTAATTACTAAAATGTACTGAGACACGTGATAGAGCGATACTCGTTTGACTCTATATACGGTCGCTTCTATTTAGTTGTCATTCAAATACACCGTCACCAATTTTAAGTTCTTTCTCACTCTTTACTTCTTGCTGTCACACTTTGTCCCAAATTGTAGAAACTCTTGATGATGTCAGGAGTCATTAGTGTTGCCACCAGGCCGGTTTTAAATTCAAGGTTCGGATTAATTATTAATTGGTCCTGTTTTCGTATAAATTGCGAAATTATGACAAAAAACAAATTTATAAAAATGTTTGCGAGTATTTGCAAATATTAGGTTTATTCCAACACGAGTCCCTAACTGGTTTAAAACTGACATGTGCATTGTTCAGTTTTTGGCTGTAAAATGACATTGCGCATGCCTCGTACGGTTTTAAATTCTAACCAGTCAGGGATTTGTTTGAACACATCTATTGTAAAGCGAATGTGAGTTTCAGTTTACAAATTTATAATTTCTCTTTCAATTATCTAATTATTTAATATGACAACTCAAGAAATTGAAAACCAAAAAAAAAGGAAGCGAATTTAATACAGATTGGCTGACACAAAACGAATTTCAAAAATGGTTACGACCTGTTCGAGAATCTGATGAAATGGCTGAGTGTTGTATTTTCAATACTATGTTTAATGTAAAGTGGGATGGTGTAAAAGCTGTGAAATCTCACATGCAGAGGCGTAGCTACCGTGGAGCAGTTAGAGCAAACTGCTCCAGGCGCACGAATCATGAGGGCGCCAAATTATAAAGGGCAAAATAAAAACTTGTAAAAACATTTGTAGAAAAATTTTTGGATGTAATAATTAATCAATTAACTATTAGATTTGAATCCGTTCGACAATTATGTACACTTTTCAAGAGATTTTCACCTGCATATCTTGTCGCGCTTCTTATAAAAATTGAAACAGTCAGAATTCTTACAATCGGCATATTCGCCTAGTTTTGGACCTCAACATGCTTAGATTTAAAATGTGTTTTTATAGTCAGGTAAAAAAAATTACTTCTATAAGCGAAGTTGCTGAACTACTTTTATTTCACACCGTTACGTTACAAATACGTGAGCCGTTCACAGTCCGGCACACGTATTTGTAAAATCTAAGTGACTCGTACAGCATGGAATTCATATAACACGGAATTATCAACAGTGTTATAGGGGAGACTACTGTATTAACAAAAATTGGTTTCCTATTGGACTTCAATAAGCACAATGCCCCGAAAAACCTAGATCCGCCCCTGACTATATCAATTGAAAAAACAATCGCTTGTCAACTTTATCTGAAGAAAGTGATTGACCGATTTGCAAACGAAAAAGCGAGAAATAAATTTTGAAGTTTTTTAATGTATTATATAGGGGAAGGTGGGGCAGGATGAGGACGTTAAGGTTTGAAAAGTCATAATATGGCAACCACTTTAATGAGTACAATAATTTTTTTCATTCTCGGCAACCACAACATGTGGTAATATATAATACAAAATTTAATTTTTGAATAACGTTTTTAAAAACAAGAAAATTTAATATTTTAAAATTATACGTAAATGCGCCATCTTGCCCCGCCCGTGGGGTAAGATGAGGATATTATTTTTCGTATACAAGAAGGACAAATTAAAATGGTTAAACTGTCGTTTTCTTCAATATTGGCACAAGAACAATGCGCCCATTTATCACAGCGGCTACATTTATTATT